CCCATTATAGTAGTTTCTATTTTCGTGGCCATTCCTTCATTCCCAGCTAACCAAAGGCCAAAAGACTGAGGTGCAGAAACACTTGCATCACACTCTGGTCCCAAAGAGCTTTTGTGGGATCTATAGGGACTTTAGGAGGGACCCAATATATAACTCTTAGATAGTCATCACATAAGCCCTATATCCCTAGGTAGTCCGAATATTAAGCTCCATAAGCTACAAGGGTCCCTATCAGGGGTCCCTCCAAAAGTCCTTAGATAGAAGGCTCCCTGATCTCAAGCCCGCTTCAGCGGCCAGGATGCCTACCTGGAGGTTCCTGGTAGGCCGGGAATGGACGAATGGAAAATGAAATGGGTTATATAGGGTTTAGGGGGAATTGGCAAGCACTTGACTATAGGGATATTAGTCACAATTATAGAGAATCAAATGGAAAATGAAATGGAAACTGGGGGTATATGCTTACAATTCGGGCTATCTGCACAGGGCCGGGTAAGCGGGGGTGGTAAGTAGGGGTTATAAACCGGTTTGACGTGTAAGTTTATCAGTTTCAGGAACCTTCAAGTAGTGCTTCGGAGATTGACCCTCCGCCGCTGCCTCGTCGGCACCTCTTGTGGTGAGCTGACCCCAGACCTCCTGGCCGATGCTTCAAGCAATTGAAGGGGAACCGGGGGCGATAGTATATTGGGGTTATATAGGGATAATGGAGAATAAAATGGAAGCTTTAGTATATATTGGAGGGTTGTCACAAAGATCAGGTTTTCGGGGTGTGACGATTGTAAGCTCGCGGTTGAGAAGTTGTACAGGCTTCAGGCCGTAAGGGTTGGGGCTGCTAGGGCTTACGGGGGATTGGGTTCGGGGGCTGAGCCTCCATGGGGAATCCTAGCCCTCAACAGTGTGCATGCGGAAAATACATGAACACAGGCAACAAAAACACTCGGACGAAGATCCGTCCTATCAGCCACACAGACAAGCACCTGCGACGTACAACCTGATTCTAGGCCAGCTTTTTATTGCGATTCAGATGTCACAAGTGCACACAACCTGCAAGAATGCTCCACATCCACAGCTCAGGCAAAGCACAACTATAGCCTCAGCCTCCTTACGCGGTCGGCGGGCTCCTGGAATCGCTGGACAGCAAGAGTTCATTCGTTTGCCAAAACAGCCAAGGGCCACAGTAGGCCCCTTAATTCTGGGCATGTCTCACACAAGGTCAGTAGTGAATAAGAGAATAAAATCCCTATATAGACCCTATCTATTATATTCGCATATTCCCTACTAAGAACCAGTAAGCCAGACAAACGGACAACCTCTTTTGCACCGAACGTACCGATTCGACTTTCATGCAGACCTTGGGTTGCCCAGAACGCGAGCTTTCGCCGATACAACAGAGTTATATAGGGGTTATTATGTAGGGGTTATATTGGGATAATGGAAAAGAAAATGGAAACTACTATAATATATAGGGGTTATATAGGGTTATATTGGGGGTATATTGGGATAATGGAAAAGAAAATGGAAACTACTATAGTATATATAGGAGCAGAACAACCATGAAATTCACTTCTCATTGGCATGAAGGGGTTGTAAATCAACACCATAGCCAGCTTACAAAGAACCATGAAATTTCACCTTGCTCTGAGAGATACGCCGCCCCCAGAAGGACCAGGATCTAAACAATAAATGAGCCGGTCAGGAGGAGATCCCAACTTAGGAGCCCCACAACACCCTAAGGGTCCAAGGACCCACATAGGGCTTTAGGGCCCAAATACTACAATATTAATGGTAATTGGGACCTAAAGCCCTATTACTTGGGTCCTTGGACCCTTAGGGACAGACATGCGTTCTTGTGGGCTCTTACTGACAGCAGGCGGTCCTTCTTGCTGCGGCTCTCCTGAGAACTGCAGTATGGAATTGTAAAAAATGTACACATCATGTTACATGGGTTTAGCCTTCATTTAAGGTGGTGCATTATGAGGGGGTTCATTGGCTACTTCAAGAACTTAGCATTCCCAAAACGCAAACACGCATACTGCTTTGGAACCAGTCTCCCTTTGTCAAGCGGCGCAGCAGGGACGGCGAGGGAAGAGTTGATCGCCAAAAGCTCTCAGGCCTGGCAGATTTGGACAGCAAGGTTCCAGGTTTGAGGTTTTGGGTGGAGGTTGTAGGGAGGCTATATGGGGGGTTTCCCAAAATAGGGGTACCTTATTGGGGTTCCCCATAATAAGGATTATACTATCTGTTAGGGTCCCCGTATTTTGGGAAACTACCATATAGGGGGTTAATACGGGTCATGGGTTTAGGGTTTGGGGTTTAAGGTTTAGCTCCGCACTGGAAGCTATCTGACATAATGGATCTAACATGATCTAACGTATCCAGTTCAGCTACATCTCCTTTTGCGGAAACCCAGACAGAAGCTGACCAGTTTCGAATCTCCAGACTTGCCTGTCAGAATAGGGGTGCGCAGGCCCTTCCAATCAAAGTTCATGCGCAGTCCATAATAATTAAGAAGACCCTGCAGAAAGGCGAGAGAAGATCCATCCAAGTACTGGAACGTAAAACTCATACACACTTATATGTATATGCACGTAATATCTATACACTCCCCACACTTGTCCTCTACAGGGTCCTCATGTGATCCCCAACCCTAAAACCTAAACGGCCCTAAACCCCAAACCACTCTGGGGCTCTGGCTCCAGTGGCTGAAGTGGTGTACGTGCTCCCCCACGGAGGAGCAGGGATGTATGGACGAGTCTCAGGTGGCCCCTCCTTGCATGAAGGGGTAATCTAAACGCCTAATAACCTCCTAAATAACCCCCATAATACTCCCTATATCATCCCCTATATAACCCTCTTCAAGACTATAGCTCATATAGGGGTTTCCGAAAATGACCAGTACCTTTGGAGGTCCCGCTCATAGGGATTATTAGGAATCTGGGGTCTACATTGGGCTCCCTCTTTTTGTGGAAACTACCATATCTGCTTTTCTGGGGGACCATTTCAGAAGGACCCCCTGAACACCCTAAACCCACATGCGTGTAAGGGTATGCAGCGATTGTGGGAGTGTGTGCTGGCTTCAAAAGGACGTCAACTTAGCCCCTCTTGTCAGCTTGCCTTGAGGTTGCTTCAGAGCATCTTGAAAATTTTGATGAACACAGAAAGTCGCAATGAAGACTACCGTCGTGCTTCTGGAGTTAGTAATGGCTCGTGTTTGTACTGACGCTAAAATTCAATTTCTCCTCTTTGACCAGGAAACGGGTTCTGTCAATCTCGCGGTGGGCACAGCCCTGGGTCATCTAGAGTTTTGAGTGAGGAGATAGAATTTAGGGCTTTAGTAGTAAGGAACTCAAGGCTTCGCTTCGCGGATGACTGCAAATCCCGCAAGCCCTCGCCAAGCAGCCCTGTAGCCCGGACTCTGACCCCAACATCCTATGCAATATTAGGTTTGTTTTGGGGTTATTAGAGGGACAATGGAAAAGAAAATGGAAACTACTATAATGGGTTATATAGGGTTTTAGGGATTTTGTGGACCATCAACATTTCTTGACAAAGTCCGTGCAGACAAGAGCACACCGTAGAAGCAGCCCGAGTGGCCCTGCAAATGTCCCACACGGGTGAGCTCAGGGATTTGGTTAAAAGGGACACAGGAAACGAACTGAGGACAAAGGAGCGCTTCATCATGGTCTGGCCAGGCCACAACAGCAATACACAGGAACTTGATGAGCAGCAACCAATGCAGTGATAGATTTCATGCAGGAAACGCAGAACCACCTCCAGCACATAAATCTCAAGAATTCCAAAAGTCTAGGGTTCCCAGGTCGTGCGCGATCTCCCAGAGCCAAAAAAACATCTAAAACTCAAGCCCTAAATAGCACGGTCAGACTTAATTAGCCCCAATCCTATCACAACAACCTGACAGCTTGCTATCCCGCTATGAAGGCAGTGTCATCCTGCATGAATGCAGCCACATGGAGGTTCCATTTGTGGGGAGTATGCAAAAAAAAAACCTTATACTTCCAGATTCCGGGCGGTTCTCTGGTGATAGCTGCCTAGGCCGCCACAGCAAGTGCTGCTGCAGGCCGCCCATAGAAGCATGCTGCTCAATTCCGAAGATTCTTCTGGCTCATGATTACAGGGGCCAAGTTTGACATCATCAATTTTGATAAGCTTGATATCCAGGCCCCTACAGAGAACCTGAGCAGGAATTACGCAAAACGCTTTTTATAAGGCAACTATGGGCCACTTACTAGAACAAAAAATGAATGTATGCCGTCACTGTTGAGTCTGCTTTCATACTGCTTGGAATAGCATGTCCGTGAAAGTCTAAGCGACCGTGCGTGTATGAGATGCACTCTTAGTATCACCCTTAATAAGCTCTATAATAGTCCCCTATATACTCCCCTATAAAACCCCCCTCTTAGGAGTTTAGACTCTAGCTCAATGGCTTCAAGCAGCAAGGCCAGGGAGCGTGCAGCAAAGCGGTCACGATACAACGCAGAACTACCTTGAAGACACCAACCGGAAAAGTTGCGCGATGGCACCGTTGTGGATCTGAGTGCGTACCGGGACTCAACGGCGCACGCCTCGCGCCAAACACATCTCAACCCTCAAAGCGTACCCACAAAAGTCAAGCAAATTTCACTGAGCTCGTTGGAAGCTAATGCACCCGTCACTGGCCACAATGCTCTTTTCCATACGGGTTTGATGACACTTGCTCTCATGGCCAAGTGCTTAAGTCACAGCTACCGAGTCCTTTTCTAATTGCCATTTGCATACCTGACTATCTCCATAGCGGAAGGAGACCGAGATAACCACTCCTTGACCTTCTTCGTCTTGGGATGGCTCTCGCCCTCCAGCAACCGCTCCTTCTCATACAAGATCTTACACCACTTCTGCACCTCTGTCCCACCAAGGCCAGCATGGGCTTGCAAGAGGTCTAGCGCAATCTGCGACTCCACAAGTAGGTGAGGCAAAAGCTTTTCCTCTCGATAGAGACTTTCCATTTATTTCACAAGTCGCTTCACCATGGACAACGATGATGCTCTGTTAAGTTGAGCATTGAGCTTTTCCAAGCTTTGCCTGCGGTCATCTGAGGCCACAGCGGCCTGAATCAATCCCATTTTGTCGGCGCCGATCAGCGCGGTCAGATCCTCATCCGACATCTGGCCGTCATCCAGTGATCGCACCAAATCCTGTACCTCTTTCAGCTTACTGCGGTCACAATGCTCACAAGCTTCGCATTGACATTTGAATCCCCATCCCATCAGAGTGTGCTTCTGCCGCACAGTTGAAGTCATAAAGTTTGCATGGAAGTATGTGACACAAATCTCCTCACCGGCTTGGATATCGCGCATCGCTTGCACGACTTGACCCTGCACATCGTGATTCCAACGGTACCCAGCATTGGGGCAGCAGCTGTTGTTAAATTTGCTGATCCGCAGATACAAGCCAAGGGAATTTGAATCTCCCACTGGTAGACAGTTTGTCTTGAAGACTCCTTCTGGACTCTTGTATCCGGCATCCTGCACTTCGGGAACAGGAGTTGAAGGCACTGACGAAAGCGTGTAGAGCTTTTCCCAGGATGAGTTGATTCTGCCATCTGCATAGAGCCGGTCCACAATTGCGCGCGCGAGCTTGTTGTTGGTCTGCATGTCCTCAAGAGAGAGCACCTCAGCAGGCGTCAACCATGTGGAGACATGTTGTCATGGAATACATCGTTCGAATCGTTCACCGTTGCTCACAACAGACCTATGAAGTTAACCTTCCATTAGCCTCTACTTGTGCCCTCATCTTAGTACCCCAGCCCGCATCCTCAACAACATGTATGACGAGATCGACCTATCGTGCAAACTTGCTGCCTTGGCTTGATCGACCTCGGACAGCTGCTCAAACTTCTTCCTGATTAGCGCGTGCTTTCCATCATATACATCCGCGGGCTTGTTAGACTGCGACCAAAGGTCGGACAGGCCAAGCTCCTTTCCATCAATGCGCAAGATGTGCTGGTCTTGCACAATGACCTGTCCTGCTGGGATGAAGGCTTTCGCAACCACGCCGACACCCTTCCCAGCAATCGAAACACATCCGCAAAAATCATCTCCAGCGAAAAAATCCACATCAACGCTTATGCTTTTTTTAGGTGCAGGTGCGTCGCACGTCTTTTGCTGGCACGAGATCTTGTGGCTCTTCCAATCCAAGCGCTGACACTCAGCACTGCAGTAGCAGCGATCTTTGCACTGCCCGCAAATCTTCAGGCTATCTCCGTGCTTACTGCATACAGCACAGCTTCTCGACATCCTCTGGCAACGCTCGAGAAGAACTTTTCTAGATGGCTTGTGTGAATCGAGTGCAACACGACACTTGAGTTGAAGGCTTGCATGGAACTCACTTCAAGATGTTTGTCTGCTGTGTCTCATGCAAGTTGCTTTCATTCTCGGCCAGTCTTCCAGCCAATGCGACCCCCAGTCGGTGTCAAACTTACTTCCAATGAGACTGGTAAAGATGCCAAAGGCTATTGCGCAACAGATTATCCCACAAGGGCACAAGTTTCTCGCACGCACCCCTTGAGAGGAAGCAGCAGCAGCAGCAGCAGTTGCTGCAGCTCATGACGGAAAGGTGTGGCCAGAGCAATAACACTGTCAGTGTCATGATTTCTGTTGGATGACCCATTAGTTTGGTCAATTGCTTCAGTTCAGAGGCCAAGACAACTTACCAAATCGAACGTGCGACACGGACATCGCAGTGTGCAAACAAGCTGTTGCAGCTGTCCCTCACCAAGTGCTCTGCTAGTTCCCATCATAAGCGGCGTCACAAACCTCCCACCAGTAAGCTGAGATTACGCTCGGCCTCTTGGCATCCTCAAGCCCCACCACTCTAAGCATAGAATACCCTCATGAGTGCGCGGCTGTTTGCCTTTGCTCCTTGGGCAGATGCTTTAATCCCAAGAACCTGCCATGGAGGAGTGGCAGTTAGGTCTTTGGTGGTAAATGCCTCCAAGTGATTAGGTGAAACACTCCAAGGTTGGGCCCTGGCATTCCGCTGCACCCCATACTAAGTGTGAAGAGGGGCTTCAGAAGGAAACAGAAGTCAGTGCCTGTTCTTCAGGTGCTTACAGTAAAAAGAGTTGCTGCATCACCGCCCCAACTTGCAGTCAAGAAGCTGTCTTACGCTGACCTTGGTGTTTGGATCCTGGCATCAGGGACGTCTGATACTGAGACAACCCCAAGATATCCAACTAGAATTGGCCGCAATTTGGCAAACACCACCTGGTTGGGTAACTTGTGTGGGACTTCATAATTCTCACGGAAAACTATGTTTGCAGATCTACCTTAGGCCCTCCTTCTGCAGCTTGACATGTGAGTCCTACTGAGACAGCATGGAAAGCTTGAACATCCAGGGCTCCACACGTGCAATTCGCAAAGAAGTGTTCAGCTAACAAAGAGAGGGGGATCATTTTGGAAATGCATCTCCCAGATACAGTCTCTATTGCCCACATCATGTTAGCTCTGTGGGGAGTCAACGGAAAGAGCAGACCATCATGAGCCTTGTTATCAGAGGCCTGATCAACAGGCATGGGCTGGTTGGAACAGCCTACTGACCTACTGTCTTGCCACTGGAAGAGGCATGCGATTGATTGGCAGAGTCTTAGCAGTCCTCGCACTCCAAACCCAAAGCGCCCGGAACCGCACACGCCAGCCCAACCACGAAAGCCTCTAGCTCCGCTTCACTGAAACCAAGCACAAACTGTCTGAAAGCCTTTTGGACGTGGCTGTGCTAAAGAAGAGAGAGTGGAATGCGCTTGGGACAGGCCAGCTTGGCTTTGAGCTTGGCCCATTTCACAACGATCGGATCATCAAACGTGCGCGGTACCTGGCAAGCTCTCAATATCGATGGCCCTGCTTCATCGCGGAGTAAACGTCTGCAAGGCTGCGCAATATCAGTTGAGCGGTGTGCCATTGGGAGGGGGTAGTTTCAAGACCAAAAGGATCAAACAAGTATGTGGAGTTGTGGAGGCTCTCTGCGTAAACTCGATCATGATTTTTGCAAAGCTCCGACAGATACGTCGTGTTCAGAATTGGATGTACCTGACTGTGTAGCGCTTCTTTGGAAGGCATCTTGCAGTTCCAAGTGGTCTTACAGTCACGCTGGCTAACTACGCATACTTGTAACTATCGCCATACTTGTGCCCCATTTGATAATCACCTGAGCGATTATGTCACACAAATACACCAAAGCGACAGGCAACCAGCTTTTCTCCGACAACAGCTTCTTGAAGGGCTGCACGTGGCCGTTGCGGAGGAATGCGAGGATCTGGCGCATGTGGGTCGGACCGATTTATGCTAGCATGGTATAGACTGTACCAATAGCCACAGGGCCACAAGGGATCTTGCTATGGCTTGATGCCATGTTGGCATTGAGGGGCAATGCTAATGCCTTTTTACCACTCCGATGTCTTGTCTCCACGTTACATCTCCGCCGCCTTGAACACCTCCGTGCCAACCTTCTTCTCGAGCGGGCCTCGCCAGACACTGCACTTCATGATACGTCAGGCACAGAGCGGACTGCCTGCCTCAAGGAAACCCGTTTTTTGAGTCAGATCCTTCATAATCAAGATATGTAAACATGAAAGATTGTTGTCTTCTTGAAGGTTCTGAGGTAGCAGGGAGGATACCTGGAGCCATGATGGGCTCATTTGGGGTAATTACTGAATTACCACTGTCCTCATTTACAACTACCCATTGTACCGGTGCACCAGCCGTCTGGCAGAGCCTCCGTCGCAAGCTCACCATCTTCCTCCGCTAGTCCTGCCCCGGCGCGACACCAGTAGTGATCCAACAGATCGCAAAAACATCAGGATACCCGAAACAAGCTTTCTGTGAAATCCCCTCTTTTCGGGAACCTTATAACCTTTGGTATAAGGGATCCTGATGCTTCTGTTTGGGGCGCCTTTCATGACAGACTCAAAGAGAAGGAAGCATCTTGGAGGTTCATCATGGCCCAAGAAGTGTTTTAGACTTAAGTTATTCCTGTGGGCATTCAGATATATAACCCCCGTTCGTTTCCAGAGGTTGTGCCAAGCTCATAGTATACCCTATGCCAGAACCTGCGAGCAGGTGCCAGCAACTGCGCTAAGAAGTCTCAACTTGGAATTGGGCGTTCTTGTCCTGCTTTGGACCTGGATGTATGACGTCTTGCTGTGAGACTTCCAGATTACTGGATAGCTGGAGCCAAAATCAAATCATACGTCTATTTGATGCCTAGTTCACATTGCGGATCTACTACGGAACACTTTCCCGTTGAACAACCTACTCTAGGGGGCCTGAATTAATATCAATATTATTCTTGAGGTCTATCTGAGGTACCCTATACAAGGAATGTAGGATCATAATATTTGTAATGATTTAGGCCCCTACATCAACGCCGGCAAGTACCCCACTCCGCTAAAACGGGCATCCCTGCATGTTCCCCTGAGAGGACCCTCACAAACAAGTCTTCTCGGTGGCAATGTGATTTGGCAACTTGAAAGCAGCTTGAATGCAGCTCTTCTTGCGTTTGTTACGGAAAGAAGAAGATATGGTAATTTTAAAATATCTTCATGGTTCTTGCACAATACGTGAAGGAGACCCTGTAATCTGCATGTCCCTGCGGGTCGCTGACGGCCGTCTATTTCAAGAAACTCTCATGTTTCAATTTGTGGCTCCTCTTCTCCGCCCAGAACCGCAAAAGCACGGGCCTGCAGAATGTACTATTGCTGTTTGCCCCTCCTCCTACTACTACTACTACTACTACCACCACCACCACCACCACCACCACGACCACTACTACGACTATGACTACTACTGCTACTGCTACTGCTACTACTGCTACTACTACGACCTACGACCACGACCACGAAGTCACTAGTACTATGACGACTGTTGTTGTTGTTGTTGTTGTTGCTGTTGCCATTATTACTCCTCATTTCGGTCGAAGGAGTGGTGCAAGAAATCTACCCGCAACTCCTTGGAAGGTTCTGGAATACCTGTACAAAGTACTTAACTTAAGGTCCTTAGACCCTATATTCCCCAGTTTCCATTTCATGTCCATGTTCTTTTCCATGTGATTCTCCATTATAGGGGGATAATATACCCTAAAGCCTAAACCCTATACTATATATACCCCAAGTCATGGCATTGGAGTCTTTGGGCAGCCTTAGCCTTGAAGCACCAGAGCCAAGAACATTCCATGCCACTCCCCTGGGAATTAACCTTTCAAAGGCAAGGATATTAACAACAGGGAAATATTGAGATTCTGGAAAATATATTAGTAACTGGTAACTTACTTGGTAACTATTATTGGGAATTAGGGTTTAGGGTTGCGGACTAAATCTTCAGGTTCAGTTGCCTTTGGGGTGCAGGAGCCCGAGGCCCTTGCTACGTGCGCAGGCATCGCTGGCAACTTGGTTGGCGTGGCAGAACGGCTGGCGGAAGATCTCCTGCGTCTCCCCTTTTGACACCAACCCTACTCTTTCCCACCAGATCAAGGCTAAATGGAGCCCACTAGTGGTGCCTTTGGGGTATGTTAGGCTCACTTCTGCCGCGATCAGTAAGGCTATCACCGCTATTCCCAGCAGTCTTTGACGTAAGCCTTCAGTAGGCTGTAGTAGAACAATCGCGACTAAAGCTGTTCTTCATATGGGAACTTATCAAAGGTAATCTCTACAGAATCCCGAACAAGGACCTCCATAATTCGCAATTCCCCTATGTTGCAGGGGTCTCTAGCACCCACCCAACGTTAACATTTAGCGCCACGAGGCTGAAGACCTTCAGAATCACCCAACTCAAGTGACAAAGCAGTATGCCTAGAGCTGTGTGCGTGTGCGTGTGATGGCCTGATTGCTCTAGTTACTGAGCTGATATAATTTGAGGGGCTTGCGATAGGTAATGATTGGAGGAACCAACAGCATACCCTGCTTGGAGTGTTACTGTTGAGTGGCTGCTTCGAGTGGGCCTAGCTACGAAGGTATGCGGCAGGGAGAATCAGGACTCTTGAGGAATTCGGAAAGGATTGTCAGGAATGCCACGGAAATTCGCCCATGCTTCATTTGCATACTACAGGGGCCTGAAGAACTACTGTACCAAGATCATTTTGAGGTCTACTTAACAAACCCTAGACCAGAATTCTACACAAAATTTCGGGCCATAATATCAGTATATAATTCTTCTGGCTTCTACACGACTCATAGCCCAACTCTTAGAGCAACCCCTAAACTCTAAACCCTAAACCCTAAACTCCTGGATCGGTTTTGCGAGCGCTC